GGGCCCTCCTCACTGTGCCTTCTCTGCTGGCGGCAGCACTGGCCCGGGAGCACCCTGTGCCGGGTCCCGGGGCCAGCAAGTTGGGAGGGCTGGGCGCCTGTGCAGCTCTGTGGCCTGGGCTTGTAGCAGCTGGCCCACCTGGACTTGCCTGCAGCAGCCCTGACCCCAGCTCTGCCTGCAGAGGTTGCGTGTTTGTGACTTTTTTAAGTGTCTGGAAATTTTTTACTCAGGTAACTTTAACTTCAAACAAAAAAACAAAACTGAAGCAAATGTCAGGAAATACAAGCCTTAAATCTGGTTAGGACAAAGAGGAAGTCTTCTTGTTTCTGTCCCCGTGTCCTGTGTAGTAAGAGGGCCAACAGGCCAGCTCCAAGGACCTGGGGCACTTGCTGTACCAACTGCCTCAGTGGGGCTGGAGGGCTCGAACGTGCTGCCTGCCCAGGTCCCCAGGGGACAGATGGTGTGTGCGCCGGGAGGCGCCCTCTGGGGACCCGCCATCACATGTGTTGTCTGTGGCCCCAGACAGCCGGGGCCCAGCTGCCTGTCTTGTGCTGGTTCAGTGTTGACTTCAGCTGGGGAAAGCCTGGGTGTGCGGGCGGGAGTGCCAGGCTTCCCTGTCCTGCCTCTGTGTGGGCGGGAGTGCCAGGCTTCCCTGTCCTGCCTGCCACACTCCCGGCTTTGATCCTTAGAAACAAATAAATTCTAATTTTGGAAGCTCCTGTTCTGTGAAGTGTGTGGAAATGGGGACTGTATGAGAGCACTGCTGCCCTGCCATCCTGGGCCCAGTCTTGGGCCCAGACTTGCTGAACTGCCTCTGAGTGAAGGGTCCGGGTGCTGGGCCCTGGCACCCACCTGTGCCCAGCAAGGTGGGCAGGATGCCAGCCAAGGGATGCGTGCTCAGGAGCCCCCACCGCTTCCTGCCTCCACGGGGCGTAGGCGGGGCCAGCCTGAGGCCTGAACAAAGGGCCAGGCCAAGCCCAGTGGCTCAGACCTGTCTGGAGAGACTGAGCGCCAGGTGTGGCCTGCTGCAGCAGGGGCTGGGTGCAGAGGGCCTCCCTGGTGGGTTGCTTGTGAGCAGGCAGCAGGCAGGGTCTTCCCCTAGTGTCTGTCCCCCCAGGAAGCATGGCCACCTGCCTCCTGCTGCTTCTTACCATCCTCCACCTGTCTGTGGCCTTGGTCGGCTCAATGGTGCAGCCGCGAGTGCAGGTAAGAGTGGCTAGCAGGTGGGACCACCAGCTTGAAGTGGGCTGGGGGCCCTGGGGCTGCTGGGCCTGCTCCTGACGGGGTCTTCTCTCCACAGCTCCGGCTGGTGTTGCTGGAACCTCAAGGTCTGTGGGTGGGGTGTGTTGAGTGTGGGCCTGGGTGGGGAGCACTTGGACTGGGTCCTTTCCCCAAGCCCTGTCCAGTCTGACCTGCCACTCAGCAGGCCTTTCCACTCCCATGAGGACTGTCAGCAGGACTGACTGCACATTAGGGTGGGAAGGGGGTGTGAGGGCAAAGCAAGCCTTAGGAGAGCCGGGGAGGGCTGCCCTGGACTGGGGGACAGGTATCGAGGGCAGCAGGGGAGCGTGGAGTGGAGTTGGCCAAGGGTGGGGTGAGCGGAGGTGGGGGCCAGAAAAAAGGCAGCTGTGGCAGGGTGAGACAGTGACTGCCCACATGCAGCAGGAGGTGCCAGCATGTGCTCCGTGTCTGGGCCCCACAGGGAGGGACTGTTCTCAGATCTGGGTGGACAACCCTGGAGCCGGCAGCAGCATCTACACCATCCAGCCAGAGGGGGCCAACGCCCCCTTCCAGGTGAGAAGGTGTAGGGGTGGTGGCTGATGAGATGTGCCCTGCCTGTCAGCTGGGTAGGAACAAAAGGGATGCCAGTACCTGTGGGGCAACCAGAGGGCCGGGCCGTCAGAGCACCTTTCTGCCAGAGCCCCCCGACACCCACACCGGGCACAGACTTTGCGCACTCTGAACATCCACCTCTGACGGACGAAGATGTTGGCACAGCAATGTTTGCAAATGAGAAGGGCCCTGCAGACCAGCAGGGAGGACGCCGATGGACCTCAGGTGTGGGGAGGTAGCCACAGAGCAGGGGCAAAGGCCGCCTGGGGCAGCCTGGCCTTGCTGCAGGCCTCCCTGTTGCCGAACACGCACACTTCTGGTACTATGTGTGTGCGTCATCACGCTGATAAGCAAGTGTTTTCCAGGAAGCACCAAATGCTCAGGGGGTAGGGACAGCCCTTGGGAGGAGCAGGCCTGTATGGACCGGCCACCACACAGGACTGCCCCCGCCGTCCCAGGTGTTCTGTGACATGCGTGAGGATGGTGGCTGGACAGTGATTCAGCGGCGAGAGTGGGGCACAGAGCAGCCCCTGGACTTTGAGAGGTGCTGGCAGGAGTACAAACAGGGCTTTGGAGACCTGGGAGGTAGGCCCATGGACCATGCTGCTGAGGAGCAGGGTTGTGGGGGGGGGGGGACCTGGTGGCTGCAGCTTTAATCCCTCCAGGAGCATAGGGCAACAGTGGGGAGGGGGCAGGGCAGAGTGGCTGCAGCTGGCTGCAACCCCAGCCTGGTTCCACCGCTGCAGGAGACCACTGGCTGGGCCTACAGCACATCTCTGACCTGACCTCCCAGCCGGGCCTGCAGCCCGAGCTCAGTGTGGACTTGCAGGATGTCGACAACCTCACATGGTGGGCCCACTATGACTACTTCCATGTCGACAAGGAGGACCACTTTTACCGGCTGTCCCTGGGCCAGTACTCAGGGAATGCTGGTGCGTACCTGGATGCTGGGGCTCCCGTGCTTCTTTGAGGGTGGGGAGGGATCCCTGGCTTCTGTGCCCACCTCTGCCCAGTCTCCATTCCTCGCTGCTGCTCCCAGTGCCTGCCTGGCGATGCAGAAGGCCAGGTAGCCCAGGGGCTCACATCTGAGAGTCAGAGGGGCTGCTGGGCCCACTGCCCACACTGCCTGTGCCACGCAGGGGATGCCTTCCGGGGCTCTGGTGACACTGACACCCAGGAGGGCCGTGCCTTCAGCACCCTCGACAGAGACCATGACAGCTGCGAGCCCTGTGAGGACGGTACTGGGGTCTTCACCAGCTGCAGCCGCGACCGCTCTGGTGTTGGCTGGTGGTACAGCAACTGCGGCCAGGCCGACCTCAACAAGCCATGGCCAGGGCGTGAAGGGGACCCTCCCAGCTTGCACTGGGCCACGGTCAGCAGTGAGCAGGCCCTGCGCTCCATCATGCTGCGTGTTCGCACAGCCCAGCGCCAGAAGGCCTAAGTGCCAGGCTGGGACCAGGCGGGAGAGCCTTGCTTATTAAACATCCAAGCTCTGCTGTCTGCTTTGTCATTTGTCTGGACAGGGAAGAGGGTGGGCTCAGTTCCGGCCCAGCCCCACCCAGCCATGTGGTACCTGGGTCACCAGCAGGCACCCAGGAGGGCCTCTAGGAGGGGCCGTGCAGCTTGATGCCGGGGCCAGAGGCAAAGTGACCAGGGCTGGGGAGGGGAGCTGTCCTCTGTTGACCCCCTGGAGCGCTCACTGCAGGTGTCCCCTCAGGCTGGGAACCTGGCCAGGGCAACCAGCAGGGCAGAGGGCTCAATGCACAGAGACCCTCAGTGGCCCAGTCCCATCAACTTGCAGAACACAGAAGGGACTGAGCAGATGGGGTCCAGAGGCCAGAGAGCCCAGTACCTGGGGAAGGGTTGACATCAGGCTCTGGCTAACTCCTGCAAAGGAGGGTGCTGGGAACCCAGGAAGGGCTCCTGGAAGTGCACTCACCATGACAGGCACCTCCCCATGTTGTCCCCCTTGCCACGTGTCATCACACCCACCATGCAGCAGCTAGCAAGGGTTCACCAGAGAGCATGCAGGCCACATGGGCAGGCCGGGTTCATATGGGCCTCCGTTCTACATGAGCCAGGTCCTGGCTCCTTGACGCTAACATCCTGGAGGGACTGGAGTAGAGGAGCCCAGTAGGAGATAGGGGGCAGGCATTAGCTGGGTCACTGCAAGGCTCGTCTGGACCCCCGCCCTTCATTCTGCAACACTGGTCCCAGGGACCTCCTGGGACCGCCCCCCTGCACCCTCCCCCCGGCCAGACTCAGCCAGTCCACCCCAGCCCTTCTGGAAGCTCTGGGCCTGTGAGTCTCATGTTTTCTTATTTTCTTTTTTTTTTTGGAGAGGTTTTTGCTGTAGGATGTGTGCGCTCGTCAGGAAGACAGCGG